AGCAGTGTTTTATGTTATAGGCAACCAAATTGCATAAGGCAACAGACAAAAAAAATAGTGACGTCAATATGGCTTTATCTGAGAATCAAAAGAAATATATTGTTGATCGACTGAAGCCGTTCCAGTCCTAATTGCAGTAGAAGGGAAAAGTGAAAATTTTCCATCTTCTGGTCCTCTTTGCTTTCCCCAAACCCTGAACCTAATAATATATTCATTCTGAAAAAATAAGAGCTTGCTCAGCAAAAGAAAGATGGAGTTTCACTTCACTTTCCCCCATCCCTTCCTAATGCAGGAAGGAACTCATATTTGCTGAGCACCTGCTCGATGCCTGGCCCTTTGTCTACAACTAACTTCCACCAACATGCTTGCCCCTACATGGAATCCACTCTTTTCTTCATTTTAAAGATAAAGCAACTGAGGGTCAGAGAGGTTAGGTGACTTTGTCAGTCAGACAGCTCAGGTAACATTACATGTGAGTGACTGAGTTAGGATTTGATCCTCACCCTTTTCTGACACAGAAGCCCATGCTCATTCCACCTGCCCTACTGCCTTTCTATAGTTCAGAGAGTTGGTTCACGGAGAGTGCCTGTCTGTGCAATGAAATGGTATAAGCTCCATTTAACCACTCATTCATCCAACAAATGACTGGGTAATATGGTGTGCCAGGCATCATTCTAGGCACAGGGACTCAAACAGGCAAAGGCCTGCCTTGTGGAATTTACATCTGTGGTGGGTGTGAACAAGGACTCAGGAGCCAGACTCCTGGGATCACATCTGAACCTTCCCACTTCCCAGCTGTCTGACACGTTACCTAAGCTCTCTATCCCTAGTTTCCTCACTGGCATAGAGGGGGAGATAATAGTATCTCTTTTTACACTTGTTATAAGGACTGAATGAGCTGATATTTATAAAGCATTTAGACCATATACGTGTTGTTACACAAATAGTGAGGCACATAGGCACCAACAAAGTAAGATGCATAGTGTGTTGTTCAGTATTACGTACAGAGGTGAACAGTAAATTAGGGAATGGAGATAGAGAGTGTGGTGGTGGGTTTGCGATTTCAGTTCGGGTAGCCAGGGAAGGCTGCGATGAGAACCTATTATTTGAGCAAAGATCAGATTGTCAGTGAGCCGACAGGGCCATGTTTGAGCTTTCATTGATGGTTCAGAGGCACTGATGGGTTCTGTGGCCCTACTTTTGACTCAATTATAAATATCAATTCCCTGAGATGATCAATGTAGTGATATGCTTCACAAATTGCATCCTTATAGTGTGATGTGTTATAAATGTATCGATGTGTTTGTCAGGGACTCATCCTTTAACCTGGCCTCAGCGACCAGGGAAAAGGTCCTGTGCCTTGAGAGATACGGTCATTTCTGGAATATTCCTTTATAATGAGAACAACAGTACTGAAGTTAAGCCATGGTTTATCAGGTGCCTTCACAGCCCTTATCTTGTAGATAAAGGGTGTCACAGCTGGCCCAGGACTACACACCATGTACCATACAGTATTCTGATCTTGACTTTCTATTGGACCACACCTGGCTGATAATCCTTTGGTCTTGGGAGTGGAGATGGGTGTGCAGACACTTTACTGAGTTTACCTTCCCTTGACTGAGAAGGATCAAGTCTGGCCACGTGCTAATCGCCCTGCCCATATAGGAATGCTGCTTCAGAGGGATTCTTAGGTGCTTGAATGCTCAAAAAACAATTTCATTTTAGTGCACTCCCCATATGCTGTCTGAGAATTATCTTTTTTATCCAACCAAGGCCATGGATTTAGGGATGTGGCTAACATAGTTCACCTTATCATTGTCATGTGAAATGAAGAACACTGGCCTGGGGGGCTGGAGACAAGGGTTCCACTGTCAGCTCAGCCTTTAACTCTCACATATCTGTGTACATCACAACTCCTGTCTCTGGCTCTCACTTCTCTATAAAAGAAGGAGATGATAGGGGGACATACATACACACTGCTCTTCCTGTGTGGCTTGTCCTCTCCAGACCTGGCATATCACACATAATCTCTCATTTGAAAATCACAACGATCCTAAGTTGGGGCCCTTGTTGTTACACCACAGGTGCACTGTGCTGTAGTGGGAAGTGGCAGAGCAGGGTTGGACCCCAGACCTGACTCCAGCTATTGAGCTGCAATTGCTTAGGCTTTCTAAGAACTTTTCCAAGACTGAGATTTGAGAGACTGGGGAAGCCATTCCGTCCCTTTAATTATTCCTTTCCTATGGCTTGAGTTGGAGAGAATCTCTCCAATATCTGTCTCATGGGTTTCAGCCCAGCTGTGAAGACCCTCTGACCAAAACAAACAAACAAAAACAACAGATTGGCATGCGAGTGACAGCAGCGGTCCAAAGCAACCCTCTGTTTCATCATCTCGCCCCTGGAGGCAGACCAGACTAAACACAGGAACAGTGCTTCTAAGGAGGAGCCAGAGGCCTCCCCAGTGACTCACTCAGCGCCAGGAGAAGCCTGGCCTCCCAGGGATCGGTAGGCAGCCTCCAGACGGTTCTCCGGAAGCCCTTACCCATGGTGTGCAGAGGAAGGCAGGAGGTGTGGTCTCAGGGAGAGACACTGTGGTGGAGCACAGCCTCGAATGAATTTGCAGTGTGAGCTCAGCCAGTCGCTTCCCCAATTACTACAGAGAGGTAGACTGGAGCCGGTGTAGGGAAGCAGATATCTGAGCAAGGGAGTGGGCTGACCAGGTTTGAATCCAAGTTCTCCCACTGGCTAGGAGATAGGAGATGTGGCCTTTCAGCCAAGGCTCTTAGCACCTAGGCTAGGGATCCTCAGCCTAAACTTGAATCTGGGCTGGAAGATCAATCATCAGGCTCTGCTGCTGACTAGCTGAGGGCCAGTGGGAACACTTAACTCCTCTGGGCCTCAACTTCCTCATCTGTGAAATGCATAGTATCACAAAGGTCATTGGGAGAATTCAGGGTCATGTATACGGTGTCTCACACAGCAGGCCCTTGATAACTATTAGGATCAACCCCCTGCCTCTCTCTACTCAGCCTATCTCGAACTACCCAAGAAATGTTTCAGGCCCATGCCTGGCCTCATATCATTTAAGGAGCAGGTCTCTTAAGAACCAGACCATAGTCAGAAATTGGTTTGAAAATCCAATCCCTGTAGACTAATTCATCCAGGACTAGAAAGGGAGTAGCACAAGCCAGGATCTATGCCCACTGGGTGTGGGCCTAGAGAGGTTGGCCATCAGCATGGACAGGCCACAGAAGGATAATGTGGACATAACAGTGTCATGGCCCACGTGGACGAGGGGCCTTGCTTTCATAAAAGGCAGAAATCAGACTCACTGAGTCCAGGAATCAAATGGCTTCCGCAGGTTGACACAGAGCTTCTGCAGGTTCAAACAGGAGGAAGAGGGTCCCCTCTACCCCTCTCTCATTCACGTCTTTTCTTCTTCTGATACCTGGCTCAGCAGAGGAAAGCAAACAGGAGTGCAGAAAGTCATGCCTACCATTGTTAACAGTTTCAGTTGAGACCCGGGAAAGTCAGAGAAGAAACAAATGCTTCTCCGATGCCGCCTTTCAATGGGCTGAGCAAGAGGCAAGCACTGGCAGTTAGGAAACCGCTCACTGTCTGTCCCATGGAGCTCAGATTCCCAGTCAGGTCAAATCCCAGTGTATTCCATGGCTGACTCTAATCCATTCCTTTACTGAGATTATTCCACACCCAGTGAACGTGTGTCAGGACTTGCATTTGCTTCCCACCTGCCAGAAGGCGAGGGGCCTCCATCTACGTGTCAAACAATGCCTCAGTGTGTCAAAGGGGCTAAGCTGAGATGTTTGGGTGGGGTCCTGTAGGGTGCAGAGGATGGAGGGGGTGGGGAAGGTTTATTGAGAGTTCTGAAAGATGAGTAGATACTTTGCAGGCAGTCAACAGTGAAGGAAGGGCAGTGCAGACAAAGGTATACCATGAACAACGACCCGGAGGTGAGACCAGGCTGACATACTCAGAGAAATTACAAGATGTTCAGTCGTGGTTAAGGCTCAGAATATGAGGGCTAGGGACGGCCTGAGGGGCTTCCTAACATTTACCAAGGATCTGAATTATGCCCAACTCTGTCTCCTACATGGTTTTATGTGAGCCTTGCCACCTCTGTGAGTTTTGCTGTTATTCCCACTTTTAGATGCAGACACTGAGCCTCATGGTGGTTAAGTGAGAATTGCCAAAGGTCATGCAATTGAAATCAGATCTTAAAGCCAGGTCTATCAGATGGCAAAGTCATGCTTCGTCGACTCTGTGCCATTACTTTTGATGCCGTGATCCCACATTCATACCTTCAACAAATATTGTTGAGCCTTGCAATGTGCAGGCACCGTTTTAGTCTGGGGACACAGAAGCTAGCCAGACAAGGATCCTGCTCTCAAAGAGCTTTCACTCTGACAGAGGGAGAGGAGGGGAGACAAAATATCTGAACAAATGCCCAATATAATTTGGGATAAACTAAGTGCTATGACAAAAATAAAATAATGGGAATGAGACTGTTGGTTGGGGTGAGGAGAAGAGAGGATGACTTTCCCTAGGATGGTTGGGGAAAGGCTGTCTGAAGAGATCACATTAGAATGAGAAATGAATGATGAGAAAAAGGCAAACAATGGGCAATCTAAGGAGATATGCTGTAGATAGAAGGAAGTGCAAAGGTCCTGGGGTAGGCACCAGCTTGTATGTCCAAGGAGCAGAAAGAAGGCCACTGTGGTAGAACAGAGGGGGCCAGGGTCATACATAGTAGAAGATGAGGTCAGGAGGATGGACAGGGCCAATGAATGTGGTTTAGAGAAAGTAGCTGCTCCTGCATGAAGAGATTAAGGACAAGATGTGGAACAAGGCAGAGGTTTTATGTCAGTTAGAAGGCTAGCTTCCCTGGGAGAGTCAGCCTGGTGCAAAGGAAACATCCCCACTCTGGTTCCTCCTCACCACAGAAAGCTTACAATGCAACAGAGGGGATTAGGAAGGTTTTAGTCACTTATTATTGAATTCATTGGACAAATGTCCATAGAGTGCCCACTAGGCACCAGGCACCATTCTGGGAAGTAGGATTCCAGTGGAAACCCAGGTCAGGGCCTGCCCTCACAGAGCATCTATTCCAACAGCAGAGAGTCAATCAAGCAGATTAGGAGAGACTCAATGCAGGGCCTGCGTGTCTGGGGAGTAAAGGGAGTGCAGGGCTGGAGAGGTCAGGGAAAACCCCCTGGAGAGCTGGCCCCGAGAAGGAGGGGTGCTGTCAGCAGAGGGAACAGCACCCTCAGGGGCCAGGCCACCCAGCCAGCCAGATTCAGATCAGGCCTGCTGCTGCTAGTATCTTCCATGCCGCATGAATAAGTCTTGCACAAGAGAGGCCGCCAGCTGTCCCTCCCCGGCGACGTCAGAGCAGCTGGTCCCACTGTGGAAAGATATCTGGGAGCAGGGGCCTCTGCATCACCTGACAGGCACAGCGATTGCGAAATAGGCCTTCGCACCAAACACGTTGCACCACCAACACCATCCGAGCTCCTTCCTCCAGAAGACTTGTGACTGGGAAGTGTGACCGCCCTCTGATCACTGCTAATAATAGCCCTTGCTTTTTGTTGTTGTTGTTGTTCTAAGCAACAATGAACTTTGTAGCCTAGGTGGTGGCAGTCACATTGGTTGGTCATCCGTTGGGTGAAGTTCATCAGAAAGTAAAAGTCCAGTGACTTGAAAGGTTCCAGGACTCTTTAAGGGGGAAAGAGACAGAAATTCACTTAAAACCAGCATCGCCTATGTGGTAGACAGCACACACACCTCCTTTCAATCACAGAGAGGTGGCACAGGTGGACCTGCCGTGAAAATGAATGCAGCCATGTGACTTCAGCCAAGTCACTCATCTCCCTCAACCTCAGTTTCCTCATCCATTACCTGGGAGCCCAACGCCTGCCTTACCTATCTCACATACAGCAATGTTCATAAAACACGAAGCTTGGTTACTGGCATATTATAAGGACCCAGTAAAGGAGGAGGGAAGATATTCAGAAGGGTTAAGGTCGCAGGTGAAAGATCAATTTGAAATCAAGTCTAGCTCCAAAACCCTGTACCTTTCTCCATTCTTCATGCTCTTCTCATGTTAGAATTATACCTTTTGCTATTTGACTGTGTAGGGCCCCCCATGAGAGTGGGAAAATATAGTTCCCTGCCCAGTGACATTGGGTTTGGCCATTTCCACCCAAAGGAATGCAGGTGGAAATGCAATAAGGAAGTTCTGGGCTAGGACCTCAAGAGGCGTCATCTGTTTCATCATGTTCTTGACTGAGCTCTTGCTCATTTCCCGTGAGAAAAGCCACCAGAGGCTACTTTTCAGCCTGGCCCCCACCATGAGGCATAAGGAACAAACACAAACCTGACCCAAAGCTCCACCAAAGCTGTAGCCTTAGCCTGAGCCCCACAGCCAGCCCTCCAACTCATGAATGAGAAAAACAAATGCTTGCGGTTGTAAGCAACTGAGTATGGGCGGTTGGTTATGCAGCATTATTGTGGCAATATCTGACTAACACACCTCCACAGAAGAGGGCAGCCAAGCCAGCCCAGCTCTGCAAGTATTACTTGAGTACCTACTGTGTGTGATGGAAGGTAAAAAGGAATTTAAAATCATCTCTGCCTTCAAAGACAGTTCCATTGTTCCTTCTATCCCTCCTTGCCAAGCACAGTCATGACACAGAAATCACAAATCCTTATTTTATAATAAATAAATGCATGTGTTTCTATTGTTGAAGAGAAAAGCATAGCTCTCTGTGAAATGATACCTAGCAATATCGACACACATCTTTTCCTGGAACTCAGCAGTGGTACGAAAGGAGCCTTTCTAGGGCAGGTGAGACTCAGGTAGTTCTTAACCCACTGTACGCCATAAGCGTCTGTAGACACAAGTGCAGACCTTCCCCACGTGCCATGCGTGTCTATAAAAAGAATGTGAGAAAGATAAATACCACATGATCTCACTCATTTATGTAATATAATGAACAACATAAACTGATGAACAAAAACAGATCCAGTGACAGAGAAGCATCTATCAGACCATCAAACCTCAGAGGGAAGGTAGGGGAGGGTGGGGGTAAGGGGGAGAGATCAACCAAAGGATTTATATGCAAGCATATAAGCCTAACCAATATACACAGACAACAGGGGGGTGAGGGCATGAGTGGGGGGAGTGGGGGGTAAGGTGGGGATAAGAACACATATGTAATAACTTAATCAATAAAAAAATTTTTTTTAAAAAAGAATGTTTTCCCTTAGTGGCAGCCCTGACCAACTTTAAAATCATTTTTCGTGAGACTTTTCAGCTGAAAATATTTAAGAACACCTGAATTGTGAGTAACATATTTTATTTTTATATTATTTATTGCAAATTGATTTTTTTAAATTAAATTCAAAATATCGTGGCGTGTGGGAACGATTTCCATTTTGGACGTGTGGCAGTTAACTGGTTAAGGGGGGGGGGGAGCATTTAAAGATGCTGGACACTGTCCTCCAGCCAAGTCACTGAGCTTTCATGTCCAGGTTACTCTGATGGGGTAAGAGAGGAATCAGAGTGACCTGGGTTCAGCCCTCAGGCTGCTGCTTTCTAGATGTTTGACCTTGGACAAGTCGCACATCTCTGACCTTCAGATGAGTTCCCCCGGCTCTCTTCCCTCTGCCTGGAACGGCCCTTTTGCCTCTGAGGACCCTTCCTGACCCCCTCTCCTCTGAGAACTAAAGCTTCCTTTCCTTTGGTCCCAGCTACCCCCACCTGAAATGACCTTGGCCTTAGGGAACTCCAGGGTCCTTAGTTGTGCATGTGTCTTTTTCTTGTGGGGGACACGGAGCCCCCAGGACAGGGCAGGTCCTCTGCACCCCTGCGTCCCCAGTGCCCAGCACAGCAACAGGCTGTCAGGAAATTGCCCTACACTAAGCGAAATTGCCCCAAAGATCATCCAAGGATAAATTATATCAAAGAAGAGTTTCTACATTGTTTTTGTAAAAGGGTCTCAGGACTAAATACATCAAGAGAAAAGAGACGCATGCTTTGAAAAACACATCCACATAAACACACATGTATGCAAACAAACACAGGCCAAAAACAACCCTGGGAGGATTCTGCAGACGTGTCTCCCATGTAAGGCCTGTAATTTCCCTCTTGGCCGACGCTGGCTTTGGCCTGGACCACGTTTCTCAGACTCCTGGCAGGCAGCCGGCTGGGTCTGGGTTCAGCTTTTTTTTTTCTTTTCTTTTTCCATCAGACCTGAAACTGAAGGCGCAGACCTTTCTCGAACCTTCTCTCAGCTGTAGCTGTCATGATCCATCACCGCTTCCCTCCCCAGGCCTTGTGGACCCATAACGCGTCCAGGTCCCTTACAAGCTGGCAAATAGCGATTCCTTCTATAAGGAAGCAAGGACTCTCCGACCCACCGGCCCGGGGACTGCCTGTGACCCAGACCAGGCCTCCACGCCCCCAGAGCTGACTTGGTCTGAGGGCCTGGACTGCTGGCCCACTTTCAGCATCACAGATGTAGGACAATGGGGGAAACTGAGGCACATGAAAACAAAACAGAATGAACGGAGTTGTGCTGGTGACATGGGTGAAGCTTGTATAAACCTAAATCCTGGGGCCAGACAGTGGCAGCTGGCTTCTTAGGTCAGACACAGCTTATGTTCAAATCCTGGCACTGACAGTTTCTTCTGGGCAAGTTACCTAAATTCTCTGAACCCCATTTCCCCGTCGATGGGCTGCAGCACACCTGCCTTGCAAGGCTAATGTCAAGATTAAGTGAGTTCGTGAATGCCATGGGCCTACGATCTCAGAAAGAGCCTGTCAGGCTGCACCAGTCCCACCCCTCCCCCTCCCTCTAAAGTGCAGCCCCCTCCTGAGTCAGCCCATGCATGCTTTGAGGTTCTCAGGGCGGCCTGCTGCAGCCTGGAGAAATCTCATGACTAGAAAGTTCTTTCTTAGGCCTCACTCAAAAGGGGTCTCTCTAGAGCTCTCGCCCACTGGCCCTTCCTACTCGAGACCATACAAACAAGCCCGTCCTCTCATGTCAACTGCAGCCTTTTCCACAGCAGAGACAGCACCAAGGCTCTCCTGGCGGTGCCTCCAACATGCTCCAGGCTTTATATACATACATGTGCATGTGTGTATGTTTGTGTGAGTGGGGAAGCAATTACAAGGGACTATGTAGGCACATACGAGAGGCGCCTACCCAAGACCTGGGAGGTCCAGGAGGGCTTCTTGGAGGAAGGGTCTTGGAACTGAGCAGGATCTCCGAAGTGGTTGTGTGAAACCCTGCAGCTAACAGTGAGGGACCTGAAGACCAAGAGCACGCCTTCTCGGTGGGGCAGCAGGCAGTAGTTGATGTCCACAGAGTGTAAAGCTAAATGTCATTATTGCTGAAGTTTTACTGCTTTGTTACTATTAAAATGCACTTTCTAGGCCCAGATTCCTCAGCAAGTGGGGCCCGGCTCCGCCGACAGCAAGCTCCTCCGTTCGCCTTTTCAGTGGACAGAGACCTGGGTTGGCGTCCAGGCTCTGTCACTCGTAGCTGGGTGACCTGATCTAAGTGAGGCCACTTTTCTGTGCTGCAGTTTCCACTTATAAAATGGGACAGCGCTGCCTACTCCCTGGCTGCTGTGTGGGCGGAACGAGGCGTGGTGTGGACAGTCGCCCAGCCCAGAGCCGATGTTTGACGAATGTTTACTTTCTTTTCTTGCTGGACAAGATGGTGCAGGCTGGTCCGATATTAGACCTCCACTAATGTTATTAGGCTCTACCTAAAGTTGATAATGTTCCTAGACCTTCAAGGGCACTTGCATTTGAACCAGAGGGTACCAACCAGCTCAGGAATGTTCCAGGACCTGTGCCAGGCTCAGGACCTCAGGAATGAGTGGGCACTGAGGCCAAGGAACCACTGGAGAGGAGAGCGTCACAGAGGCCCACCGGGGTAGCTGCTGCAACAGAGCTGTGTGCACGCAACAGAAAGAAGGCTTTCACTCATCGTTGGGTGATCAGCTGTCTTCATGGTGGAGGGGGCAGAGGACTCTAATGGTGGCCATGCCATAATGTCACATGGGAACTACTGCACCAGCCCAAACATCTTCCCTGGGTCTGTACTCGATCCCCTAGAACAGTGGTTCTCAACCTTGGCTGCACATTAGAATCACCTAGGAATCTTTATAAAATCCTGATTTCTGGGCCTCATCCTCCTGAAATTTCTGGGCCTAGAAATCAGGATTTTAAAAAGATTCCCAGGTGATTCTAATGTGTAGCCAAGGTTGAGAACCACTGAACTAGAACCTCTCAGGAGCTTAAAGGAGCTTTCTGCAATCATAAGTCAGATTGTGGCATGCCCCCGCCCCCAAATCCACCATGGCTTCTCATTGTGCAATACCCCCAGTCCTTCCTCTGCAGCCCCACAGGCAGCCAGGCTGGGCTTCTGGAAGCCAGCAGCTCCGATCCCTCCAGGACAGGTGCCCATGTGGAAGATCCCAAGGGCATGAGAGGGCAAGGAGAGGTGTGAGCGGGATTATGCCTGCTCCTGGCCAGGACAGGGTCTGTTTGGGGGACTCTGCAGAGCCTCCGTGGGAGTGTCGATCCAAATCATGGCAGGAAAGAAAACAGCAAGCACAGGGCAAAGCTGCAAATAACTGAATGGCAGGGTTCTGCTTAGAGGTGAGAGCAGGGTTAAGGAAACCAGTGAGAGGTCGAGGCA